CATCACTTTCATCACTTTCATATCATCACTTTCATCTCATCACTTTCATCTCATCACTCCATCTCATCACTTTCATCTCTTCACTTTCATCTCATCACTTTCATCTCATCACTCCATCTCATCACTTTCATCTCATCACTTTCATCTCATCACTTTCATCTCTTCACTTTCATCTCATCACTTTCATCTCATCACTCCATCTCATCACTTTCATCTCTTCACTTTCATCTCTTCACTTTCATCTCTTCACTTTCATCTCTTCACTTTCATCTCTTCACTTTCATCTCATCACTTTCATCTCATCACTTTCATCTCTTTACTTTCATCTCATCACTTTCATCTCTTTACTTTCATCTCTTCACTTTCATCTCATCACTCCATCTCATCACTTTCATCTCATCACTCCATCTCATCACTTCATCTCATCACTTTCATCTCATCACTTTCATCTCATCACTTAATCTCATCACTTTCATCTCATCACTTTCATCTCATCACTTCCATCTCAACACTTTCATCTCTTCACTTCCAACTCTTCACTTTCATCTCTTCACTTTCATCTCTTCACTTCCAACTCTTCACTTTCATCTCTTCACTTTCATCTCTTCACTTTCATCTCTTCACTTTCATCACTTTCATCTTATCACTTTCATCTCTTCACTTTCATCTCTTCACTTTCATCTCTTCACTTTCATCTCTTCACTTTCATCTCTTCACTTTCATCTCATCACTTTCATATCATCACTCTCATCTCATCACTTTCATCTCATCACTTTCATCTCTTCACTTTCATATCATCACTTCATCTCATCACTTTCTCTCTCGATGCAGTCCTGTGGAGCTCCAGATGAGATTCGCGCATAGCCAAAATCGCGAGGAGCAATTCCGTCAATAGCCGAAATTGCCACCCGCGATTTTACCCGAGATGTACATTTTAAGACACTCTCTCTCTCTGTCCTTTCTCAAAGTCTTCGGTGGTCATGGTCTTCCTGACATTCAGCTCTGTCCATGATATTGGCTCAATAACTGGATTCTCCTCCCAGTTGCATCCAGTTGTTCAAATGACAACTGTAACTTAATTCGCGGTCTATATATACGAGATTACACTCGGCCAACTTGGAATTAGCAACCGGAAACTGTTGGTTTTAAAGAGGAATGCTGGGAAAGCTGGCAGTGCATGAGAGTCTGTAAGGTGCCACAATATATTTACACGAAGAATACCAAGTCTGGAATCCGTGAAGATGAAACGTGAATGCAATCTTTTTCATAGTTACGCAATGGCTTGATTCTGATGCTCTGAATTTATTTTTCTTTTACCAGATTATATCCCAAATGTCCTTTTGGCATCAAGGCAGGGAGTGAAGAATTTTCCATTCCTCATTCTGCCTACAATAGCAAAGCGCCGTTTGGAATGCACAACATCACCGCTCGCTGTCTTGGCAGATTAAGTGTTTGGAAATAAATACGTTTTGAAAGCTGCTCTGTTTCACTGCCAGAACTAAATAGCATTACGTCCATCAGCCAATAGATCTTCAGGAGCAATCTTTTTCAGGTAGATTCCTCGTGTTAAGCAGGGCACAGCGTCAATCTCCTCCGAGTGTCATCAGTAAAGCAGTGGCCTATTAAACGCTGGGGGGGGGGGGGATATCAAACCGCGACTCGTGAGTCACAGTGCACGTGCGGCTCGATAGAGACGCATCCCAATTTGTAACTTTTCAGTGAACTTTGAAAAAGGAACAATCTGCGGAAGCCGCAGCGGCCCGGGGTGCTCAACCTTGGCAGTGGAGCCAGACGTGGCCACTCCCCCAGGTGCTCGCGCAGATTTCTAAATTGTACGTAGGCACGTTGAACTTTGAACTTCTTTCACACCGTACGTAGCCAACCGTGTTAATCGGAGGTGCGGGGGAACGACAACAAACTAAACAAAAATTGCAGTTCAAAAGAATTTAGTTTTACATTTGTATTTAAAAGTGCATTGCTCCAGTGGCCTCCTAATATCAGAAGAAAGAGCGTCCCATATGGCTGCAGAAGCACATATCAAGACTTGCGATGCAGTGACAGCCTTTGTTCGATGGTTAGCCAAAAGCCACTGCGAGGATGACCTGAGTTTGCGCGATGATGATTGATGCTACTTGAAAAGATCAGCAAAGTATTGTGGTTCATTTGCGGCAAACACTTTGTGTGTAATGAGCGCGACCTTGTAAATGTATTCGTTCGGCAATCGGAAGCTCATACAGCTCGGCAAGCACCAGACGGACGTGGTCAGATCTGGCAAGTAACACGACACGTGCCAAAGAATGGAAATAATAAAATAATAAAAATAAAACATAATAAAATAATTCTCACGACGTTTCGGCGACAACGCAAGCAGCCATGCTCAGGTGGAGAACAGAGAACAGGTCTGTCGAGAAGACAGAGTCTCTGTCTTCTCGACAGACGCTGTTCTCCACCTGATGACGGCTGCTTGCGTCGTGGCCGAAACGTCGTGAGAATTATTTTATTATATTGTATTATTTTAATTTTATTATTTCCATTCTACGTGACTTTACCGAAAGAACCAAGAAGATGAATCCCTGCAGTCACGAAAGCTTTAAATCGAAATTTACGTGCCAAAGAATTTAAAATAAAAATCTCACTGCGAGCGGAGGTGGCCAACTCCACTCAACCACGTGACCGCCCCACGTGACCGGCTCACCGCACGCGTAAGGCCTGCGTGTCTCGTCCGCTGTTGGCCCTATGCAGATGTTTTGTCGGTCGGCGGTTCGCAGTGTCAGAAGGTTTTGTGGCCACCCCTGCCATGAGCTATAGCCATCCGTGGACGTCGTGATGGTGCGAGTATATAAAAAAATACAAATCCCCAGCAAAAAAAGTAACAAAAAGCCTGCAAGAAAAAATGCCAAATCACCGCTCTCGGTTGTCTTCCGTGCGTCGCGGATACCACTTTGTGGAGTTACACAGCAGCTCTGGACTGACACCCCTCGAGGGTTTGCGTCTGAAACGAGCGGTTATTCTGCACACGTTGCAGCTTTTGCAGATGAGTGAATGCCCCGCAGTCTGCCCCCCCCCCCCCCCCCCCCTGAGAGCTGGGCACTGATCCATTTAAAGGCGAAACCAATTTTTCGCGATAAATGTTCTATTGCCGAGTGAGCTGAGACGACCTAATCTGGTGATGTACACCACCCTGGTGGAAGTGGCTTATTCGAGCCATTGAACCCAGCCACCCACCTTGGCAGTGCTGACTCAATGCTCTCGGGCACGGCCATTACGAACACTCCGAGTCACCGGCCAACCGCAACTCTGAACACGGTGCCGCTATAACTACACCATCCCCCCACCAACTTCTTTATTGCGACCGCTATCATCTTATGTGCGATTTTATAAATGTTTTGAGTTGTACGCCTTTTAGGGTCATCTGGTCCAACAGCAATGGAGACTAGGCTCTAAGGAAAGCTGTCTCGGGTGTGGACCAATCAACTTCAAGGACAGTGCATATCATTACCATTATCAGAGTTGTTTCTTTTTGTTTGCATTTTTACTGCTTGTGTTGCGGTTATTGCAAACATGATGCCTTGTATAAAGGTGTCAGTTTTGTACCAGTTTAAAGGGTAAAAACCTACTACTACTCTATAATTGTTGTAAAACTATCTCAGAAAAGGAAAGGACTCAACAAGTTCGCGTCGCCGCATCGACAAGCACGGCATTGCGCGGCACTTATATTCATTTGCGGTCCTCAATCTGGCGTGGGAATTCCAGAGCGCTACGGTAAAGACCGGGGGGGGGGGGGGGTGGGCTCACGTGATCGAGCATGCACTACGAACTTGGCGACCCGGGTTCGATTCCCGCTCACGGCAAACACCAGTGACGATTATCTTAACCGGTCCTGGGCCTCCCCTAGGTCGACTCAGCCTCAAATGAGTACCTGGTGCGGTGTGTAAACATCGCCGCTAGGGAGACAAAGGCGGTCGGGCGTGGTGCTGGCCCACCCACCCCCTCATGTACCGTTCCGGCTTTCATAGGTGCTCGCTAACAGCACTTGCCCCTACAGTCTGTTAAGGCTATACGGGGGATCTTTGTCTTGTCTTTTGTCTCTGACTTAGAGCGTCACAAGAATGGCTCTGAAATTGGGTCACGGTAAAGGTGCAGCCCTGATATCGCTCGCTCACGTCGCTGCTGGCGCTCGTGCCTCGACTAGAGGGAGCTCTCAAGAGCCGCCCTCGGCAGAGTGTTTTGACCCGCCCTTCGACGCTGGCCAGCCGTCGTGGACGAGGTGGGAGTTGCCCACGCTCTACCCCACCGCACACGCGACCGGCCGATCGGCTGGCTGTAGCGTACTCATTTACACTGCTCGGTGGACAGAGGTGGGCAGGAGGGATGATTTAAGAAGCTTGCACCGTTGTTTATTCACTGGTCACGGATACTCTGCGCTCACGTACATTAGAACACCATTGAAGTGTGTGGCCCTGAACGATCACTACATTAGAACACCATTGCAGTGTCTGGCCCTGAACGATCACTACATTAAAACCCCATTGCAGTGCCTGGCCCTGAACGATCACTACATTAGAACGCCATTTCTGTGTGTGGCCCTGAATGATCACTACATTAGAACCCCATTGCAGTGTCTGGCCCTGAACGATCATTACATTAGAACCCCATTTCAGTGTGTGGCCCTGAATGATCACGTACATTAGAACACCATTCCATTGTACATTAGATCCCCAGTCGAGCCTTAACAGACTGTTGAGGTAAACGCTGTTAGCGAGCAGCACCTATGAAGGCTGGCACGACACACGAGGGAGTGGGTGGCCAGCACCCGAGTGGTGATGTTTACTCACCGCACCAGGTACACATTTGAGTCTTAGTCGACCTCGGGGAGGCCCAGGACCGGTTTAAATAATTGTCACTGGCGTCGACCGTGAGCGGGAATTGAACTCGGGCCGTCGGGTTCGTAGCGATGGTGCGCGCGCGCGCACGTACACGCACACGGGTCGCCCGCTCACCTTGAAATGCTGCAGGTTTAACTTCTCATCTTCGAGCGCCCTCTTCTTGTTCTCGATGTCCTCCTGTCTGCTTCTTCTCTCCTGTGGAGACACGAGTCGCTCACGGTCAGCTACGCCCCTGACAATTCCGACTTCCCATCGCCACGCGAGACATCTTTGGCGCGCAGGGTTTGACAGCCGGCGGTGTTGTTAACCCTTTCCCGTTCTGAGACGTCTGCAAGTTGCTGGGTGGGTGTCCAGTTCACCGCCGAGTCTCGGAACGCGCGAGCGGTTCGGCGTTATTCCCATTTAGAGAGGCCGTAGCGCCGTTGTTTTTAAAGACGTTGTTACTCACCGCAGAGAACCGTAGCGACACGACCGCCAAACTCCACCACACGCCCCTCCCACGTGGCCTTGCGGGAGCCTCGTTATGGACGAAGTTACTTTGTTTTAGTTTTTCTTCGGAAGAAAAACTGATGACGTACACCCAAGTACACGTACGTTATTGGAATGGGAAAGGGTTAAGTAGCACGCGCCTTTACAGGTGAGAGAGAGACACGGTGGTTGTTGTTGTTGTTGCTGCTGCTGAAGGGCTGTGTTTGTTTCTTGCACTCCAAGCCGTTAGGATGGAAACGTATTTATAACCACGAGACCACCCTGAGTGCAATCTCCGGTGTGGAGGGGAAGACAAATGGGCAACACTGCCTCATCGCTGGGACCCGCTGCACCGTATGCAAAATATTAATTGCAAATGCAAACGATTTCCGTGAAAAACTAGATGCGTTTGATTGGCTCGTGAAAAAATAAAACATTGCAAATTAAAACCAAGATTTAGGAGGCAGATTATTTTTGTATAAATGCAGTGGTTAAAACAGTTGCAATAAACCACAATTTTACTTGCACAATGTGAAACTCCTACTGCCAGGTTTCTCTGGGTGCTCCGGTTTCCTCCCGCATGTACACACACGTATTCATTGGCCGATCACACCTTCATATACAGAGGATGGCAGAGCTTGGAGGAGGAATTTGGTGCCGGCTCATTGCGTGGCTTTTGCTGCTGCTGCCTTCCCGCTCGTCTGCGGTTCCTCCTCCTCGTGCCTCCGAGTCGTTCTCGCTCTCTGTACGCGAGCGAGCGGACGCTGCGCGGTGGCGCGTTACAAGTTGACATAATTATTATTGTTATCTATTTTATCCCCGGTTTTATTCCAAATGTGCTATCGGCACCGTGTCAAGAGATTAACTCATTTCTGCTTTGGAATGTTCCACCGTGAGCGGCGCACCGTTACGCAGCACTCTCAGAGGACAGAGGTTGACGTCACAGAACTACTTCTGAAGTTGCTCTCAACAGAGGCCTCTTACCCCTGATGAGGCAACTTTGAATGTCCCGCACAGAGTGTTTGTCCGCGTAACAATGAATAATCAAATTAACGTAAATTTTTACTTTAAACTTTCGTGACTGCAGGAACTCATAAGTGCGCAGCCTCCACCACTTAATTGTATACGCACGGGCTGATAAAATGAGTACCACTGTGGGGGGAAGTCAAAAGTGGATGAGTACAAAGTCCTGCTGTAGGAATGTGGAATGTCCACCGGTGGATCAGAGCTAGCGGCAGCAGCCGCCTCGTGCTCGTTTGGTCCAGGGAGACACGACAACGTAGGCTCACACGGGTCCAAGCCTCATGGACACTTGTGAAAAAGAGCTTTATAGCTCATCGGATTCCTCCGGTGTTAATACACATTCTGATTCTGTCAGCAAGCACCTATTCTATCTGGGCAGAATGGCAAAAATGGGTAGAAGACTGAATACATAATGTAGTGACCAAGTAGTTAGGGTTAGTGGATCACATAGAGAAGAGAACGTCATCCCGTGAAGAGAGGTGTGTGATGCTTGGTTCCCTGTGCGTGACCCAACAACCGCAGCTCTGAGAACACATTCTTTGCCAATCGCGCGGCGTTGGCATTGGTGCAAAAAACTAAAAATAACTCAGCGCGTTGGTCGATAACACCATTGTTAGGCCTTGAAAATAAAAAAGAATATATATATAGCAAGCGACGTTTCGGGCAATGGCTCTACTTCATAGCACATTAATGGAGAGGCTGGTCGAGAGGTGGAGTGGATGGTAAGAGTTGGGGACTGCACCGACGCCATGGGGCCTGATGGAGATGTAAAACAATTTGTATCTTTTCTGATTAAGTTTTTTAAGTTTTTTTTTACCTGGCATATGAATATGTATCTAATAGTGGCTACTGAGCAAGATACATACTTCCAGCCTCCGATGTCTTCCCCCGAAGTGACCAGGCGCACACAATATATTTCGTGACATTTTCACCTGGGGTTGAAATCCATTTCAGTAAAATCCCAAAGGTGTCTTTCATTTTGGCGTATTACGTTTTTCGCCAGCAGTCCACATTTTAGGCCAGGGCCACCACAGAGGTAGCCCAGACAAATCAACACGTCAACATTGTTTTGTTTTCATAGGTTTTTTAGGTTTTTTCGGTAACTTTACCGAATATGAATCCTTGCAGTCACGAAAGCTTCAAATCTAGAATTTTTTTATCAAAAGATGGGACAGGGATTGCAGCGCCTTTTGCGGGGTCCGGTTTTTCGCGTATACGGGGGGGGGGGGGGGTTTGGTGCTGACCTATTCCTCCCCAAAAGTCACCCAAACGCGCGGTGTGAATTCACCCAGATGGGGCTACTGTGCTCCTCGGACGCGGGACACCATTGCGTGTGCACTCCATGCGCTCCTACTCCGCAGGCAGCTGTCTCCTGCGGTGCATTGTGGGTTATGGTGACGGTGCCGTGTACGCCTAACGAATTTGTTTTTTGCGCGCCCCCAATTTTTCGGGACGCGTTTCCCGCGTTCGGTGAGCGAAGAACCTGCCCTTTGACACCGCTTGCCGCGCAAAAACACACACTGGTCCCCATAAAAAAAATCTTGCACGCACAGCGGACACACGAACGCCGTACGTGTGTATACACAATGTAGCAGTGTTATAAACACCGGCGACATTCCTGTTCGCTGACACACACACACATTCTTGCCCTTATTTCAGCACCTCTGCGTTTACCTTGAACAGCTGGCATATTGTAAGTGTGAACGAATTTATACGATTGGCTAAATGTTGTGGCGAATTACGTTACAGGAAAAATATTTGTTTTAAAAACGAATAATATTACAATCTAATTGCATACGCAACTCATAAATAGAGAACTTTATTGAAATCTTTTCATTTGCACGCAAAAAAAACCTCTGAGCGAATGCAAATGCTGCTTCAGAAAGGTGAGCCTTAGGCCTCTTCTCAGAGCGCCAATCAAAGACAAAATTGGACTTCTCTCTTCTCCGCTGGATGGGGGCGGGGGGGGGGGGCACTCTACTCCGTTGGCGTCTCTGCGCCAGTGGTGGAAATTCCACATTCCCGCGATGTGAGGGCCACTGTGTGCGTTGAACTTCTTTCGCACCGTACGTAGCGTGACCATTGTAGGTGCGGTTCCATCTCCAGAACGAGCACTCTGGTACTATTTTTATTTTTTAAGATACCGAGGGTTTCACGAGTTGAACCGCCGCCGAGATTTGAATTTCATGCCGTGCAATTGTGAGGCCGCCGATACTGACCACAGTGCCACCCAGCCCGATTGATAAGTGTCGTAATATAGGTGACAAAGTAGTTAGGGTTGTTGGATCACACCGAGATGAAAACACCATCTTGCGAAGGAAGGTGTGTGATCTTCTTGGTTCTTTCGGTAAAGTCACGTAGAATGGGAATAATAAAATAATAAAAATAAAATATAATGTTTTCTTTTTATTATTTTATTATTTCCAGCCTGCAATCCATCACTGGAAATAATAAAATAATAAATATTTAACATCATGTTTTATTTTTATTATTTTATTATTTCCATTCTACGTGACTTTACCGAAAGAACCATGAATCCCTGCAGTCACGAAAGCTTTAAATCGAAATTTAAGGTGTGTGATGCTTGTTCTGTGCGTGACCCAACAATCACAGCTCGTAGAATGCACTGTTTGCTGCTGCTGCTGTGTTGGCAGCGGTGCACAAACAAACACAACTCAACAGAATCGTCAATAACACTGTGTGTGGCCTTGAAAGAAGAAAAGCATGTTTATAATAGTCGACCTCACGGGGCAATGGCACCTACGTGCTATGGAGAAGGGTGATATGGCTATGCACGTGGCCTGCAATCCATCACTACGTGATGCGAGGGGTTGGTGAAGCACACACAGATGCTGTTCAGCTTCTCGTGCCATACCCAGCGCCAGCATTATCCGAGTAGCAAACGTAGCTACATATGCTACGGGCCCCGCACTTTCACGCCTTTAACCAAATTCCGGTTCAGTGATTCTGCACTTGCTCTATTAATGTAGTACTATACCGCCTTCAACGTTTATGAACGACTGGGTGTTTAATGTTAGCGATTTGTCGTATTATCTGGCTGTATAGCAAGTAAAAAAGAATACAATTACTTTACTATGCAAGTAAAAAATGTATGTGTTTTAAGATTGATGTTTTTTTGTTAATTTAGGGCCTCTTTATAATATATGCTACAGGCCCCGCACTAGCTTAATCCGGCACTGGTCATATCCTGGCTTGCCAGCCAAACACGGTACAGCGAAGAGTGGGCGAATGTCATCGGTCACCTTCTGTGTGGGATAGAGCGTTGCCCCCTCGCACGCGTGGGTTTTCTCCGGGTGATCCCACATGTATAATAAACACTCACTCGTGGCTGAGAACATTTTAATATGTAGAGAATTGCAGAGCAATTGTTGGCAGCTTTAGATCTCGTCTGTGGTGCCTCAGTGATTGTAAGATGTAATTTGCATGAACTGGCACAATATAAAATCTTAAGCGTGAGATAATCATGATTAAATTGCCCCAAAAGTCACCTCTTCGAAATTTTCCTTTTAAGGCCACAGCATCATTGGCGAGTGTGTACGCCTCTTCGGAGCTGGATTACCAGCAGGGGAGCATGTACCACCTTGCCTGCCGAAGATATTTTACAAACCTTTAAAATAGTCTTGCAACGAATCGTAAAGCCTATCTCTTGAGATCTGTCTTGTGGAATTCCTTTGGGTTCTAGA